TATGATGGTTCAACTTAAATCTGTCGGGAGGCTTCATGTCCCACCCTCTTCCCCCAGCACTTGGTTTTGTGTGGTCCAACTCAGTTGTGCAGAGGTTGTTACTTATCTGTACGACCAGTGAGTCTGGTGTTAAGAACTTCCCTTGGAAGGGAAATAATTTCGGGCCAGGGCAGAAGAGCTTGGCTGGGTCTAAGAGGCTTGTAGACAGTAGGGAGGACCCACTACCTCCCCCTGGAGTATAAAAGGTGCTGCAGCATTCTAGTCTTGTACCTTGTCTTTCTGGATTCAAGAAAGGTGTGTGTGTGTGTGTGTGTGTGTGTGTTGTCTATATGTGTATCTTTTGGGAATGAGAATGTGTGTTTGAGCCTCTGTGGGTATAAGAGTTATCTGGAAAACTAAGTATGGATGGAATGTAGTGTGCTTGTATGTGCTGGAGAGAGAGAGAGAGAGAGAGAGAGAGAGAGAGAGAGAGAGAGAGAGAGAGAGAGAGAGAGAAAATGGATGTTTATGTACATGGTGAGGACAACCTCCCCTAAAAACACAATCTTCTAATTAACAGGAACATCAAAGACTTAATGAAAATTTTCAGTCCCTGATGAAGCAGAAGGAGCTGCTCACCCGGCAAAGGGACTTGGCAGTAAAGCTGCAGCATCACTTCACTGTGTCCCAGATGAGGTAGGAGCCCAGGCTTCCAGAAGTGGGTGGATCCAAGTGGGTCCACTGTCCCTGGATCTCTGTCCTCTTTGAGTTTTGTCAATTGGCAAAGCTGCCAGCCACCCCAGGGAAAGAACCACTCAGAGTGTCGTTGCTGGCTCAGTCAACAGGAAGCAATATGCTCTCTCCTTGGTCTCATGGGGATTGCGTCCCCTTCTTCCTTTCTGAGAACTCTTGTATGCTCTAGTATCTCATCTCTTAGATTAGATGTCCACACAAATATTTCCATGGCAGCAAGAAACGTGGAAAGGAGGATCATTGATAATGAAGAAAAGTGTGTCCCCTGCATCTTTTCCATCAGGAACATCACGTTTAGAGAGAAGTGTCTACCCTTTGCAGATTTGCATACAGCACACTCCTGGTGACTGCAGGCTCTCTTCAGTGTTTATCAGTTTCTCATGAGAAGATTTACTTTTGGTCATAAACAGAGTAGGAGCTGACAAGTTAACCCCATGCAGGGTTCTAAACTGTAGGAATAAACAGAGCCTTCTTTGCATTGCTGTGTAGGCTCCACTAGAGGGCAGGCATAGAGTTTTCCAGGAGGTTCACATTCAC